GAATTAACAACTCAATTACCAAATAACTATGTTTCACATTATCAAGTCAAGTCTTTTTTTTCTTTCTTGAAAAAACCCAAAATGATCAACACGTTTAATTAAAATTTTACCCTTTTTTTGGTCAAGCAAGAGAAATTTTTCATGTGAAAATTTCCAAAGCACCAGATTAGCGGGAAATAGCATCCTCTAATTCACACTAGCAGAGAAATAATCACTATATAAACTGAATACAAAATCGTAATGTAAATTTAATTGAACCTCCATTTTAACTGAATCTACTTCTTACTTTATGAAATAACTAGAGCTGTCAATATGGGCCGGGCCGGGCTAGCCCAGCCCAGCCCAGCCCACGTGAGCTTTAGCAATTAACGGGCTGGGTTGGGCTAGCCCACCATTTTGATGGGCCTTATAATTGTCAGCCCACCCCAGCCCTATGTGGGCCGCGGGCCCCCATGGGCCGGCCCATCATTTTTAAAAATATACTTTTATATTTTTCTTTAAGTTCTGACCTAAGAAAGATAATTATTTAAAGTTAAAAATATCTTATTGGAAAAATTTGCAAAACTTACTAACTTTTTATATTGTTCCAATACATCACAATAAACACTAAAAAAAAGTAAAAGACAAGACTATATTTCATTCACTAAAAGTCAAAACTTAAAACAAACTATTCAAGAGAACGTTCATGATGCTTATGAGATGTCCAACACATCATCTTCATCAAACACATTTGAATCCGCTTGTGAAAAGGTTGTCTTAACATCTTCACTTTCATCTACAATTCATATGCAATATTAATTAGTTAAATATTAAAAATAATTAAATTTTAAAAATTAATAATATTTAAATTCACATAAAAAAATATTACCAATTTGAGTTTGGGAAAACCGTGCAGCCAATTTCGAGTAGTAACAAGTGTTTGGACATTTTCATAATAAATGCAACTTCTGTACTTTGTAAGAACACGACACCAATGCTAAATGTTGATTCCGATGCTACAATGGTAATAAGAATACTAAGTACATCACGCACCATCATTGAAAGATCGGGATATTTTCTAGAATGGTCCTTCCAATACATGATAACATCCATCCCTTGAAACTTCTCAAGATAAGTTTTGGTTCCTCTTAGTAAAGATCCAGTTTTGACTTTTTATCTCTAAAGACAATATACTTGTTATTTTTTAAATAAATATTTTATTAGGCCCACGGGCCTGCCCGACCCAGCCTCAGTCAAGCCTCATGGGCCACGGGCTTACTCGGGCCGGGCTTAAAAGCCTCATTTTTAAACGGGCTCCAAAAATTCTAGCCCAGCCCTGCTAAATCACGGGCTGGGCTGGGCTGGCCCAACGGGCCAAGCCCATATTGACGACTCTAGAAATAACTTACATTATCAATATGATTCTTGTACAAGATTTTCATGTAAAATTTAAAATGTATTAATACTACGCATTAGCTTAAAAGTTAATCAAACTGATTAATAAATTACTTCTACTACTTAAAATAGCAAAACTTTTAGAGCGGGATAGCATGTAAGTGATTAATAAATTACTTCTACTACTTAAAATAGCAAAACTTTTAGAGTGGCGTCCGGGCAATTCAGATTGAATATGAGAATTTCGGTTTTCTGATTGAAGAAATGACAATCAAATCCAATCCAAATAAGTTCGGATCGGATTGGATTTTTTAAGTTCCGTGTCGGATTAATTGGTTTGGATATTATGGATTTTCGGCTTTGAGCGTATAGGTTGAGGTGTTTCTACTTTTTACAAAAATGAATAACCAAATGAAGTACTCATGTTAAATTACCTGAAATGTTCTTCATTCTTGCCGCAATCATCCAAACAATGTATTCAAACAATAAAATTATTATAAAAAAATGCAACGGAGATGTGAATACGGCCGATAAGAAGTAGCAATAATAATATCAAGTCCAAATAGAAAGTATTCTAACAGTAACTTAGTAATTAATATTGAATATATGAGATACTATCTAATGGATAGGATATTGAACTTATTACTATTGGCATATGGATAATGGACTAAATATAACGTATAAAAATTTTGGATTTTCAGATATCCAAATCCGAAGTACCAAATCCAATATCCAATTCGAAATTCAAAGATTTTAAAAATTAAATTCAAAATCCAATCCGTAGTCCGAAAATCCAAACCAAAAATCCAAAAAATTTGAATTTCGGGTTGGATTTTGGATTTGCCCAAAGTATGCCCACCCCTAATAGCATGAGTATACTTGGCAAATTAACCTAGTAGTATAAAGGCAGAATACATATGATCACGCCCAACTATGCCTTATAAAAAGGACAATGCGGTCGTTGCAAATATAATCCGGTTTACAAGTCCGGAGTCGAATCCCACAGAGAACTAAGGTTTAGCTACAGCTGTTCACTATCACCAAGAAGACAAGCTTGAACAATTCCTAACTTATAGATATTAAGATTCTTATGTTTAACTAATTAACTAACAAATTAAAATAGTAAATTAACAACTAAAGATACTGAGGGTTAGAGAAAAGATTAAGGAGGTCTAGAGTTATGATTTCCCCTATTGTCGGAATCCTTCCTGCTATGTCTTCTATAATTTCGCCTAAGTATTCTCTACCGATCATGAGCACTCTTATTACCGTAAATCTCTCCCGAGTAATTACGACAATTTACTAGTCGCACTCTCCCGAGTTACGCTAGCTGGCTTTTAATACAACTCACTTTAGATCGCACCCAAGGCTTCGTTATCCCTAATCCCGCCTTTAAACCCTCGGTTATTGATCCCTCATATACTTTGGGAGTGATGTTGTTCAACAATTACCTAAATATGCACTCTCTCCTGAGTTATGCATACTAAATAGGCACAGCTAATTGAGAGCTCTTCAATCAACCACAATATAAACGTAGTTGAACAAATAGAGAAAAGGCTATGACTCAATTATATAAAAACATAACAAGAATTTATCCTACAAAAGGTTCTATCAAAACTCTAGATAACAAATTAGCTATTCATAATAGTATGTAAAACTACAATACTAAAAGTCATAACCAACAATTATAAATAGGAAGAGGAAGGAAAAAAACTCGTAGAAGAATTCTCCGCCTTGCTCCCAATGTGTTCTTGCCTCCAAGGGTGTTGTCTAACCCTAAAATAGTGTCTCTCCGCCTCCTTAGGACTAATTTGTGTCCAAAATATGTCCTCTTCTTTGTTCTAGGCCGGCCTCCTTTGTTTTATATAGGGTTTAGGACTTAAAATCCCATGTTTTACACTTTAGCCCCTGAAATTTACGCTTCCCACCGTGGTTTCACCGCGATCGTGGTGGAACCGCGGCCAAACGCCCTCGCGGATTCTTCATTCTTCAGAAACTGCCTTCCACCGCGGTTCTGCCGCGGTCGCGGCAAAACCGCGGTTTTTCACCCTGTTCCGTTTGGAATTTGGAAAAACGTAAAACATGAAAGTTGTAGCCCTTTGAGTTAGCTTTCCAACCATATATTGTGGAGCCCAAATGGAGTTCTGAGCAAAAAGTTATGTCTATTTTACTAGACAGTGCGCAATATACCTCCTCAAGTCTTCGTTCGTACTTAATTATCAAATTTGACCCCCGAACACGATCCCGGCTTAATTCCTTGAGCTTTTACTCAGACTTCAAAGCTTCAAATCACTTAAATTCATTCCATAACATCTATATAGCTCGGAATCACACCTACAAGGCATAAAACACACAATTAGTGCAAAACACTAGCGATTAAAGCACAAACTCAATTAAAGTGCAGTAAATTCGAGTGTAATAAGCGACAAAAATATGCAATTATAGCCTATCATCAACATACTTTACACATCAACCTTGTACTCAAATCTCTCTTACACACTTGTTAAATACAAGAATAGTATTACACACCAAAACTTTTAAAAGTATGTCAATTACACACCTCTTTTGCCATGTGTCACACGAGTGTATTACACATAAAAGAGGCGCGTGAAAACCAAAAAATTCATCAGAAATTAAGTTTTTTTAATATATTATTTTCCCTTTTTTAACTGTTTCCTTTTTAAATTAAAAAAATATAAACATTCCCCCCCCCCCCCCCTTTCCCGTCTTCTCTTCTTCCCCAACTCCCATCCCAGTTTTGTTTACCCCTCATGTTTCGTTTCTCCACCCCCCATGATCAAGGAGAAAAGAGCTATTAGGTCTTGTAAAATCACCATTATTGACCTTTTGAAAAAGCTTGAAAATTTAATCGGGTCTTATTGATTTTGGTGTTCCATGACCTAGAAAATCAGTTTGAATTCGTGATTATTGTTGGGTAAAAATTTACTTAAAACATGCTGAAAATTTGATGATTAATTTTGATAAATTTAAAAAACACTAGCATTGGGTTTGAGCTTGAATTTGAAATTTGTATTAGGATTTGTGATGGATATTATTAAAATTTGTTAAAATTCGGCAAAGAGTTGAATCTATAGCTAGGGAAGAAGGTGTTTGTGGTGGAGGGGTTGGTGGTAGTATGGTAATGGTGGAGAAGATGATGGGGTTGGAAAGACGAGGAGGGGGTGGGTTTTTTTCTTTTATGTATTTTTTTTCTTTGGGAAGATGAGGAGTGGGGGTTGGGTGGGGTTGGGGGGGGGGGGAGGCGGAGGTTTTTTTTCAGTTTTTTTCTCTCGATTTATGACACGTGTTAGATGCTGATTGGCGCGTGTAATAGCAATCTTTAAGCAGATGTGGTCAAATAACGAAGTGGTATAATTAACACACCTTTAAAAGTTTTGAAGTGTAATATTATTCTCGTATTTAACATGTGTGCAAGAGTGATTTAGGGGACAAGATGAAGAGTAAAGTATTTATTTTGCCTGGTATAAAAGTAAAAGATAAAGAAGATAAACTAGACTAGATTTTTCGTTGATGACATAGAAATTGCTTTACCTATAGTGTTTATTTAATTATAACAAATCTTAGTTTAATTAATTAACATAGTTTGGTATTTCTAAGTTGAGGTTCTTTTATGTTTCTTCTTGTTTTCTCAGAGACAGTTCAAATTTGATTCTGCAACGAATAAAACCCACTTGTCTATCTATAAGTCATTGCTCTATGGCTGACCCAAACTGAACTATCCCCAACCCCCACGCCAAACCCACACACACCCACATCTCAGAGACAAAAGCAAATCCCAATCGGGTTTTGGAGAGAGTTTACAGTGATGAAGGATCAGAATTTGGATCTTTTCGACCCGAGAATGGCTGTTATGGACCCGGAAAGCTCTCCTAGCCGTGCCCGGGACCCCGATTTCGGGTTTGCATTCAACGACAGCAACTTCTCCGACCGTCTCCTCCGGATTGAGATTATGGCCGACCCCGAGGGCTTTCATTGTCAGAGTCTAGCTGATTGGGCCCGCAATCGCAAACGACGGAGAGATGATATCAACAAGGATATGGGTTTGTCCTTTTGCTACTTCCTTTTTCTCTTAATTATATTAGCTATATGCAATTGGTCCTTTAAGCTCAGTTGCTCGAGTTTCTAGCTAATTTTTGAGCTGGTATCTCCTTAAGCTTCAGTTGCTTTCATTTCGGTCTAATTTATGAACTGTGTATTTATGTTGCTGAAATTTTTTGAATGAACTGGAGCTTAGTAGAATGAAAATGATAAAGGATTCATATTTCTGACCCTTACTAATTTGGGGGATTGAGGCAGATTTTTTTCCTTTCTTTTTTAAATGATCTTTGATTCTTCAGACGACATCATACACTGTCTACTGCTCTTGTTCTTATATTCAAATTGTCTAGTTAACATATCATAGTTGTTGTTGTTATAGAACGTGATATAAATATTGTTTTAACAAATTCTCCATTTGCTATTTGAAATTGGTGCTGTTAAAGTTTATTAAATGTATTACTTTTGATGTTTGGAGGGAAAAGATGGAGTGATGAGGGGGTCATGAGAACACGTTGCTTCCCTAAATATGAATGTAATGCATATTGGGTAGAATTTTGCTCTTTATTACTCTTGTGGGTTTATCTTTTTCTCTGATGATAACCAGACATGTGCCACTTGCTTGCAGCTTTGGATATCATCGCATGCCCTGAAGAGCAGATTATAAGCTGTAACCAAATTGATACTGAAGATGCTGAGAATGAAAATCAAGATGAATCAGTTGTTGCAATGATCGAAGAGCCACACTCAGGTATGGTAATCAAATCTAATCCTGCATTTCGTTTTCGTCGGCTTATGCTTTTTCGATAAAAAATGAGATTTTTGAAATTTCCATGTATGTTCTCGAAATAGGTGATACTTCAACTTCTACTCTGCTGAATTAAACTTCAAAGATAAAGAAATGAAATATTACAGGAACACATTTAAGTCAGAGATATGAAGGGCTCGGCGACGAGCCAATGAGTGACCTCGTAGGAACAGGGGCGTACGCAGGATTTTTCTTAAGTGGTGTCGACATTAAAGAAGTAAACAATTAAATAAATCACTATAACGATACAAATTAAAAGAACAAAATTAGAATCCAATTAAAGAAAAAACAAATCCTAGTATATTACTACAACTCTCCTCGACAAGCTTTTATAATTTGGAATGTATTCATAATATCCTTACCAGAAATAATACTTAATACTTTTTTTTTTTTTATAAAACACTAAATAATCACTTAAAACTCTTATCATTATTTGACTTTGCAAATGGTTTCGACCAACTTCATCACCCAAAAAAAAGATGATAGAAAAAAAATAGTAAGACAACTTACGATGGAACTAAGTTAAGGGAAAAATTTATTATTGTGCTGCATCGGGCTCCAGTTCGAACCCAAAACCTTTCCCCAAATACAAAAGCGCTTGACCAGGAGAGCAAGCGAGATGTTGGTTAAAAGTAGTGTCATTTTAAATTAAGTACAAATACTTTTTTTTTAAATATCAATAATTTACACATATTTAATGAGTTTTTCCGGCGAAGCGGTGTCGGATGACACCGCTTCCACCTAAGTGCATCCGCCCCTGCGTAGGAACCATAAGACCTAAAATGTAGATTTATTTGACTCTTCAGTTTTTGTTTCGATGGGGTCTTTTCCTTTGACATTCATATTTTTTCTATAAGATTCTAGGACAACTGTCATTTAGAAGTCAGTTCTTTATGCAGAGAGATGTTGAATAAAAGTAACTTATTGTTGCCTGCATAGGGATTTGGTCATAAGCCTTTGATCAGAGATTTGGCATGAACATCAGTAAACAATACAAAAATGTAACTGAGTCTGTCTATTTGTGTGTGTGTGTATTTGTGCTTGTATGTGTATGTGTATATATATCCATCCCAATTATCTTGTTAAAGACCTATTGTCAAGTTGCAGAAGACGTATTTGCTGAAAGGTATTTATTAATATTGAATAATTGAGTGTCCTGAACGTGCGTGCGCAATTCAAGGGATTTAAAGAGAGAGCCAGACAATTTTCTTCTTTGCTGTCTGTTTATCTATGACAAGATGAATTCATATAGAAGCCACTAGCAGGTTTGCTACATTAGGCTGCTTTCTTTGTTCTTTATATTTCAAACTTGATTGTGGAACCTATAATATTCTTTTTGAATGCGGATACCTTATTTTCAAGTAAGGTGATCTCTAGGCATACCGTAAACAAATGCTAACCGAATCTTTCGTTATACAAGGAACATTTCCTTGCAAGGGGTGGTGGGTACAGAGTGAAAAAAGGGAAGGAAGAAGACCATATCTAAAGAGCATACGTCATTACTGACCTTGTTACTGCTGCTATATGTTGCAGAATGGAGTCAGTAGTATTTCTTGTCTGTGTATGTTATAACATACTGTTGCATTTTCCTCCACTTCCTTTCGCTTTCTAGTTTTGATGCTTATCTCTTTCTACTTACTTTCCACTGTCTAGTTTTGATGCTTATCTTTTTGCAGTATCACAAGACATGTTTCCCTATTCATGGTGTTCATGAATTGTGATTTGTTTTATTCTCGGATTCAAACTTGTATTTTGTTTGAGTCTCACTGCTACTCCAAAATACCATGAAAAAGATAGCCATGCTATGTTTTATGCGCAGGAGATGAAGCTGCTAACACTGATGATTCATCTTGGAACTTTGATTCTCCAAGAGTTGTTAAAGTTAAAACCTTACATATCAGCTCCCCCATTTTAGCAGCAAGAAGCCCATTCTTCTACAAGGTAAACATCCTTTTTCAAATGTAAGCTGTTAAGCACTGTCTAGAGTTTATACGTGAAGAATCAACAGTGTTCTCTTGTAATTTATATAGCTCTTCTCCAACGGGATGAGGGAGTCTGAGCAAAGACAAGTAACTCTAAGAATTAATGCTTCAGGTATGAGGAATTTAAGACTAACAGTATATCATTCAATAAACTCTTATTGGTAGTTATTTTGGACTGGGCTTTGCTGTGTGAGCATAGTTTTTCCCTTGCCATTGTAATGAAAAATTGCAAAGCACGGAGAATTTTCTTTTATTTTAGCATCTAGTGCTAGTGATATGATAATTGTGGGTCAAATATTGTTACCTTAGAGAAGTTGTAGGGATTCCTATCCATTTCATGTGGAATGAATAGTCTTTTCCATTCACATGGAGCAGAGGAAGCTGCACTGATGGAGCTCCTGAATTTTATGTATAGCAATACATTGACCACTGATACAGCGCCTGCTTTGTTGGATGTACTCATGGCTGCCGACAAGTTTGAAGTTGCTTCTTGCATGCGGTATTGCAGCCGGCAACTGCGTAATTTACCAATGACTCCAGAGTCCGCTTTGCTATATTTGGAGCTTCCTTCTAGCGTCCTGATGGCTGAAGCAGTTCAGCCCTTGACTGATGCCGCAGAACAATTCCTAGCTGCAAGATACAAAGATATTACCAAGTCAGTTCCATTTCTGACCAAACTCTATTTCACTCTATTTCTTCTTAAGTTCTATTAAGTTTGTCTCTAATGCTGCTGTATGTTTTTCAAATAATGATATTTCAGTCTCCACAGCATTCTTTGACCTTTAGTCAATGCAGTGGTGATACATTCGTATTTGCTAGGAGACCTTTTTTATCCGGTGCCAGAAAATTTTTCCTGGAATTTAGGGATGACAATTGGGCGGGGCGGGGCAGGGCAGGGCAAGCCTTGGTCTGCTAACATTTTGACCCGCCCTACCCTGCCCCATTTAGTATTTTCTCAGATTTTTGCCCCACCCCGCCCCACTAAGCCCTGCCTGGCCCTGCCCCGTTTATGTTTTTTCATCATTTTTCTTGATTTTTTCTTTTGCAGTATTCTAAATTAAATTTTAACTTTTTCAAATTTTTATTTGAACCTCATATTAAAAGAACCAATTTGAACTTGACTAAGTTGTTTTATTCTTGTTCAATAGTTGATTCAAGATTTCTTTTATTATTATAAATTATTTACTGAAATAGTTATTTTCATTCTGCTTCCAGCAGCATAGCTACTTTAATGGAGTAATCAGTTAAGATTAAAATACGAAATCAATGGCAACAAAATGAAATAAACACAATCTATCATAACTTACCAGACCACTAAGTTTGAGAATTTTCTAAACAAACAAATTATATCATTCAATTAATCATTTTACAAGTAGAAATATGAAGAATTTAATAAGCAACCCAACTGAACCATACTGTTACAGTTAATGTATTTAAAGCAAATCCACAAAACACAAACAAGAATGACAATAGAAAGTAGGGAGAGACGTGATACTGAATCATTAAATTAAAATGTCAAATAGATTAATAGTGCAACTTCCACATATTCCAAAATAAAGTTTGCCCTGCCCTGTCCTAACCCACTAATTCTTTTTAAAAAAAATAATTAGCCCTGCCCTGCCCCGCCACGCCCCATTTAAATCTTCCCCTGCCCTGCCCCATTTAGAGTTTGCCCTGCCCTGCCCCATTTAGAGTTTGCCCCGCCCTGCCCTGCCCCAATTGCCATCCCTACTGGAATTCTGCCCCACTATACATCGCTCAAAATTGCATCTTCGTTATTATGAATTTTTAAAGAATGAAAAAGTTTCTTTTCCATAGCCCCTAAGTATTTGTTTTGATGGATTGGGAACAAGTGAAAAGTTGGTCTCCATCTATTGCTGCTTTTGGTGAGTTCTGATTAGCTGTCACACTTCTCTGTGCTTGATAATGAGCTCATTGTCCTTGGACAGGTTTCAGGATGAGGTTATGAAGTTGCCTCTTGCTGGAGTGGAGGCTATTTTGTCCAGTGATGACCTCCAGGTAGCATCAGAGGATGCAGTGTACGACTTTGTGTTGAAGTGGACAAGGGCTCATTATCCGCAGTTTGAGGAACGGCGAGAAATCCTTGGTTCACGACTTGGTCGTTGCATCCGTTTTCCTTTCATGAGCTGTCGAAAGCTTCGGAAGGTTCTGGCATGTAATGACTTTGATCAGGAATTTGTATCCAAGCTTGTTCTTGAAGCCCTCTTTTATAAAGCTGAGGCCCCTCATCGTCAGCGAAACCAAGCTGCGGAAGAATCATCATCACCTAGTCGTCGTTTTGTGGAGCGTGCTTACAAGTATCGACCTGTCAAGGTGGTTGATTTTGAACTTCCACGGCAACAATGTGTAGTCTACGTGGATCTTAAGCAGGAGGAATGTGCTAGCCTCTTCCCTTCAGGAAGAGTGTATTCTCAAGCATTTCATTTAGGGGGACAAGGTTTTTTCCTGTCTGCACATTGCAACATGGATCAGCAAAGCTCTTTCCATTGTTTTGGTCTCTTTCTGGGTATGCAGGAAAAGGGATCTGTGACTTTTGCTGTTGATTACGAATTTGCAGCAAGAACAAAACCAGGGGAGGAGTATGTCAGCAAATACAAAGGTAACTACACTTTTACGGGGGGCAAGGCAGTTGGCTACCGCAATCTATTTGCGATACCATGGCCATCTTTCATCGCTGAGGACAGTCCATATTTTATTAACGGTATGCTCCATCTCAGGGCTGAACTTACTATCAGGAATTGATTCCTTGCTCCCACAATGTACAATTAATATTGTTGTTTTTGCTTCTCGGATGAGTTCAACACCCAATGTTTCTTGGTTTGATAAAACAAAGGCGGCAAGGTTTAGGGCTAAGTGCTAACTATCGTATGCTAGGCATTGAAATATTTTGTACTAAATCACTTTCCCCAGATCCACATGCTCTGCAAAGATAGAAAAGGATGTAAATGGATTTGATGAGTGAAAGAATGTTGGTTACTGTGACATGTTAAAATGTGATACACAGATTGCCCTGAAAATGTCATGCTGCAGTTAACAGTGTACAACATATGTAGCCGAGTTTGTATGAACATGCCAGCAAACTCTTTTTTTTTTCTTTCTAAATAAACAGCATTCCTGCAGAACCGGGGATACCGTACGGAAGGTGGTAATTAAAACTTACTAGGTGTTGTATTATATAGGAGTAGTTGATTACAGAGCATATGTTTACTGAAATTTGGGGGTCCCATGCAAGCTCTGGCCATTGGGCTTCAATAGCATTGACGAGGCATCTTGTGATCTCTTTTTGCAATGGATTGGCTTGTTTCATTACTGCGCTGCCAGTTGAACCTCAGTTTGCCAACGAAGCATAAGTTTGTCCTGAATATTGTGATAGTGAATTGGTACTTTTAACATTTCTATGCAGAGGTAACAATGTTTCAATACATGTCTCTATCAGCAGTAGTTAGAACAGCTCTTAAAATCTAACCACTTCAACTATTTCGTTCATTGCCCCCAACAATGTGGCGTAGCTTTAATGAAATAGAGTGGTTTCGTGTTCTTGGTTATTCCTCCCGGTTGTTTTATGGAAGAGGAAAATAAACTGAATGGTATGCGTTACAAACTCTGGCCCTTTCCTTTTCATTGCATTGACATATGTTCTGGTTTCTTCTGCCAAAGGATTCCCTAATTCTTTGATGCTTGCTGCTGATTGAACCACAAATTGCGTGTCCCTGATTATTTAACTTGGGATCTTTAATTTATTAGCCCCACGAATGGCACATTATGCTTCTTGAATGGGGTTCGATAGAACTTTATTAGCAAAAGAGAAAAAAATAGAACTTTATTAGCAAAAGAGAAAAAAATAGAACTTTATTAGCAAAAGAGCCTGATCTAGTTGAACTACCAGAGGAATCTTTATTGGTGTGAAAAGCTGTTTACCTATTCCTTTAAGAAATCATTTGCCGTCATCTCTAAACGCTTCTAGTTAAATCTTTAGCTAATTTAACTCCAAAATTTGATAAGTGATCATCTAACAATTAAACTGAGACTGAAACAGTATTAATGTGATAAATGAAATATTAGAGAACCTATTGATGTAAGTGACGCTTTTGAATAATGGTGGGACATTACTTGTTTTTGGGACTCGAATATCTTTAACGTTATCCTGCTAGGAGAAAATAACTTCTTGTTTAATTTTCAATCGGAGATGCACTGACATCATTGGTCCTTATTATGGGGAAAGTCTTCCCAATCACAATAGAATAAGGAATAATTGAGTGTACCGCAATCTAATAAAATTATTTGAGTTGACTCTGACATGTTTAATAGTTCCTTCGATTCTAAATCATAGTTTTTGAAATTTTAGATTTGTCATTAATGTTTTGAAAAAGCAAAAAATATTAAGAGAGAGATAAAAATAATTTTGACATATTATTAAGACTATAAAATGTCATAAACAAGAATTATGCAAAACTTTAAAAGAACCGAAAATAGTTTCCTTTTTTATTGAAAAAGAAAAATTAGCAACAAATTTTTATTTATTTATTTTTTTAATACTTTTTCACAAATCGAAATTAAAAAATGTAAATTGGCATGCGTATGGTTTTACACTTTTACCCTCACATATCAAGGCCTATCACCCACCGCCAAAGGAAGACCCAAGGTTAAAATAGTTAAAACACGATGTCGTAGCTTCCACGCTAGCTCGGTGGAAAAAGCCAAACGAAACTCATATATAAAGTGGAAAAGAAAACCACAATCGATTATCAGTTCTCTTTTTTCAGATAAGAAAAAATTGAAGCTTTCTTCAGTCATTTCTAGGGTTTCATTCATATATCGTTCAATCTAGGGTTAAGGGCATCCACCACCAAAGCAAAAACCAATCATGCCGAAGAACAAGGGAAAGGGAGGAAAGAACAGGAAGAGAGGAAAGAACGAAGCTGATGATGAAAAGAGAGAGCTTGTTTTTAAGGAAGACGGACAGGAATACGCTCAAGTTCTTCGTATGCTCGGTAATGGGCGTTGTGAAGCTATGTGTATCGATGGTACAAAACGTCTTTGTCACATACGTGGTAAGATGCATAAGAAGGTTTGGATCGCCGCCGGTGATATCATCCTTGTTGGCCTCCGTGATTATCAGGCAAGATCCTAATTTTTCTCTTTTATTCAAGCTTCATTGACTCTATTAATTAACTGAGATTTTTTTCCTTTATTTCTCACATCCTTTTTTTCCTATTAAAAATTGAGATTTTTGATGGACCAGAATGGAGCCAAAAAAATATAGAGGATCGGCTAGTTCAGGATTGAGCTAAAGTTAATGATTGATTAATTGAATAGCCGTGATTTTGCTTTTCCCTTGCTGTCTGTGTGTTTTATGTATTTGTCTATGGAACTTTCAGTTTCTAAAGGTTGTGACTTTCTCTACCAAAAAGAAAAGGAAAGGAAAAAGAATGAGTAGATGGTTCATATTTCTTGTTCGTTCAATGATTGTTAGATTTTGATAACCTTAATAATAACGCATGATGTGCACTATTGCAGTTTGTGTATTTGATAATTAAGTGTCATCAGAGTATAAATATACAATTTTATTTTTGTTTGCTTGTGTGTGGTCATTTGAGTGTCATGAGTATTGGGCTTAGTTCAAGTTGCAAAGGTTGAGGGACTTGTGTCTTTAGGACCACAGGTTTGAGCCCTGTGCCATGCGAACTGAGCTTGGTATTTAAGTGGAGAAGAGTAAAGGGGAGGGCCAACTACCCCGTTTTTAAGGATGTGGTTGGTCCTGAGTTGGCCGCAGAAGGATTTCTCGGTCAACAGAAAGTACAAATATGAAGTCTTGATATTTACAATTGCATGTTAAGAGTGCAAGGGACATCTTTGAGTTTCTAAATGTGCCTCTTCTGTTTGTGAGACTCTTCTCTCTGTAATGTTGTTTGGGCGATTAATCACATCATTAGGTTGCTCTTTTATGTTATCTCAGTTATGTAATCACGATTTGGCCTTCTCTTTAATAATTTTTTTAAATCTCCTGTTTGGATTTTGGCAGGATGACAAAGCTGATGTGATTCTGAAGTTTATGCCAGATGAGGCAAGGTTGTTGAAGGCGTATGGAGAGTTGCCAGAGAACACTAGGCTCAATGAGGTTAATGGATTGGATGAAGAAGATGATGGTGATGGTGATGACTACATTGAGTTTGAAGACGAGGATATTGACAAAATCTAAATTTCCTGATTTAAATAGTGCTGTCACTGGGATTCCTGCTGGCCTCACAAATACTTCTGTGGAGTTTGAATTTAATACAAAAAAGATTGAACTCTTAGATGTACCGTCTGAAGTAATATGATTAAGCTTTATGCATTAGTATTTCTGTATGAAGATTTATTTATGCTTTGATGAAACAGATGCAATAACACCCACCTGTTCTCTATTTTACTGATGCAACTGTCTGTTGAGTTAGTAGATGCAATAAAAACTTGTGTTTGACACTCTTTTAAGTAAGGGCCTTCTGAATTATTTGGTGCAACTCGTGAGACAGGCCTAATACCATTGTTGAAGACGTGTTGAGTGCTTCTTAGTAAAACAGTGCTGTTTCTATGTTACTTTGAAGAACAAGCTTGGCCAAAAGGACATCTGGGCTTGCTAGTCAATTTGGACCAGCTCCGTGAAGTGCATTTAGTATGGACCAGCTCCTTGAAGATGCATTTAGTAGGTTGTATATCATTTTGAGTGTCTTCTGCAGGCAGAGGGAAGGAGGAACTGGTATTTCGGACCTCTTATCTACTTCTACACTGTTGAACATTGAACCCGTAGTCTCAAATGCACTTTATGGTTCATTGGTGTCTTTTAGTGTGCTTTTTGAGGAACATGCTTAGTAGCTATGACTAAGAATTGGAATCAGTTCTTTGTAGTGTCGCGTTTCTGCATTTCTCACTGCCTTCGATTTGTGGACGATGAGCGCACAAAAAAGCTTAGAATGTTGCAAATGTGGTCTGCATGTCTTGAGTTTCTATGGTTCCTATTTTTTTTTTTTTTTTTTTTTTTTTTGTAGTTTCAGTGCTGAAAATAAGTCTCCACTGGGATAATTAGTCTAACTTTAACAGTGTTGCATTTTGAGAGTAGTAATGTCTGATGCAGCCCACCAGGCAGGTGAAACCTCTCCAGAATAGCAATGCAGCCCAGTTTTAGTGCCATTTTGTTCATGCCTTCAATGTTTCGTGTCAGAGGGGAATATCCAGAACACAACTGGTATACCAGATAGCATTATGCAGGATCAATCTCCCATGCAGTAGCGTCCTCACAATTGAGAAATTTGATTAGGTTGAGTGATTTCTTCTTGACGCGCCTAAGGAGTGAAAGAATAGTTACAGATGCAGTTTGACATGAATATCGCATAAAAAAAAAAGCAAAACTTTGTGAGTGAACAAATATTTTACTCTAAACGCAATAGTATGTCACAGAGTTCGATTTATTCAAGATAAGCTTGTTTAAGTTACCAATTTCCAAAAAAATTACTACTATAGATTTCACTATCGTCATGATTTGGCAGAAAACTGTATAGTCGTTGGTTTCCAACACTAGGATGCCTGTGATATAGTGATCAACCTTTAAATACCTTCGTTTAAGCTCTTCATGACTATAAATGACAGGAGATATGCTTACGTCAAAGGGCGAATGAACATTTTTTATACAGCTACTCAATTTAGTATTCCAAATCTCAATAAATAGAACTACTTTCTTACCATCGTAGTAAGAAAACTTATTTTCAGAAGAAAAAAAAAAGCTTGTTAAGCTAAGTAAACTCGTATGTATCTGTGGCAGCCTGACCAGATTGAAAGGGAAGAAACAATGACTCCACCGTAAAAAGGATATTGATCCCAGAAAGTGGTATTAACAACCAATAAGTAAAGCAACCTGATCAAGAGATTTATAACTAATACAAAACCTAGTGCAATGGACCAAGTATATTGTGGCGTAGCAAGACATGGCATATCAAAAAAAACAAAAGACGCCAGTTTAACCAAAACAAAGTGAATCGTTGCCAGGCTGTCTATGCGTTTACAAGGCTTATTCAACTTCTTGTTTTCCAGTGCCCTCTTGCTGCTAAATAATGGATGCATACTGCTACAAAGCCACCAGAAAACATTGCAATCTCCATAAAAGAATGCTTCCAACTGCATTTGGAATCAAATTACCAAGTTAATGCATATCAATCACTAGTTATTTTGCTCGACTCATATAACAGTCACTAGTTTCATATCAGGACAAGAAAAATAATCACAGTAAGATGAAAGAAAGTCAAAAGGAGGGGAAGAATCTGTTAAGCTCATCAATGCATAACCTCAATGATAAGAAAGCCTAACATCTATTACTTTGAGGGTTTACTTAATGGAAATAGCATGAAGCGCAATCTATTCATTGACAAGAACATAAAAAAGAGATAATTAGTTCCCCACAAAAAGGTTGTTCAAAGAATGGAGGATTTTAATCCTTGCATCAATGCTCTCATACAGTAGTTATCATACTTATCATAGAATATTACAGTCGGTACAGGAATCTAGTAAGATAAAGGTTAAATACCAATAGAAAATTCACTGTCGCTATGATATTAATTTTATACTAGTTTCTGCAGTAGCTTCAATGTCATTACTACGAGCTGAATTTCAATTTTATCAAGAATTGTACCATTTAGGTTGAGTTCCAACTTCACAAAACCATGGTAAAGACTAGTACCAAGTTCAATACTTGAGGATTATTAGTTATTACTAATAAGGTAAACACCTTTTCTGAAAATGGTAACATTAATATGGTAAACACCTTAACAATCAAGAAATAGATTTTTCCCGAGTCCAGTACACTGCCAGATCAGTCATTAACCATGAATCAGAATAGAAGAGCTTGCCCCACCCATGAGTAAATATTTCATAGTAGCCTTATTAGACCGTACATCTTTCTTGGTATATCGAGATAATAGGTAGGAGCATAAACTGAAACATTCAGGGGCTACAAAGATAGTTATTACAGTTACAGATGTGTTTGGGATGCCATAAAAATAACTAAATATTTTTTCTTCATGGAATCATTTTCCTGATAGGCCTCGATGAAACTGAGTTACCATAAAGGCGGAAACACAAACTTACATTGCTTAAGTTACTCGTTCTCAGTTACAAGTATCTCAGCTCTTCTCAGATATGACTTGCTCTCAGCACATGTAGAAATAATTGTCACTTTTTGCTACTCAAAATATCAACAAAATACTTTCCCCAAAACCCAATCCATCTTCCACTACTGTCATATGCGATGTAACTCCATACTCAACCAAACAGTGAAATACTTGACGAAGTCATCTTTTTTAAGAAATGATGGAGCATTAAACATCGTATACTGAGGAAGCTCGCATTTCAGCCTACTAAATCCCAAGAAACCCC